TGATGCATTGAGCTGGTATCAGTATAATCCCCTTCACTGAAGCAAAGAGGTAGAAATACCAGACATAGTCAGTAATTAATAATTATGGGTGTCATTATCCTTTTAACCACAAAGTCACTGCTTCTTTGTTGTTGTTTTTGTTGTTATAATTTGTTGTTGTTGTGATATCATACTGAACTGTGACTGCATAGTTCCTGACTTTGATACTACTGGCTTCTATTGATACAGGAGGATCATACAGTGTAGCCTCTATATAATGGGCACTCTCTCCTTTTTATAGCAGCTAGACATCTCCATTTAACGGACAGCACCTAGTATACCCATTACATGTACATGTACATCCTGAGTTTCCCACAAAGCATGCTAAGTGAGCTAAAAAGCATGAGCTTCATGAGCTGACAATTAGCTTCATAATAGAGGATATGGCTTTTGGAGTAACTAGTAACTTTAAAAATAATTCATAAAAAATCCAATTTTGATCGGAATCAGCTCAAACTTTCTACACAACATAAGTACATGTATATGTATCAGAAAACATTATAAAAATGGAGAATTCTCACCTTTTCATTTTGGCAAAATTTTAGCCCGTGACCCTGTAGTATAGTACAGGGACTTTGGTCCGATTTTGGAGCAACTTCAAAAATTTGTAAAAATATTTTGTTTTGACAGTAATTATTCCACAAACAGAATCAGCTTTCTTTATTATTAATTTATTGACTTATTATTGTTTAGACTAATGGTGATGCTAATGGAGTGTCCACTTCACCAACTGGTGGTACATCAACTGGTAGAGAAGTGGTTGCTATTGGAGACTACACAGCTCAATATTCTGATGAACTGACCTTCTCTGAGGGAGAAATAATTCAAATATTAAAAGAAGGTAAAGAAGAACTGATGATCTGTATTTTAAAACTGCATGTACATTGTACTTGAACAACAGCAGCAGCTGCATATGTACATGTACATGTACATATGAACACGTACATATACATGTACATGTACATGTGTCTATATACTGCAAGTATTACTGTATTACTGTTTAGTGGGTAATTTTGAATGTGCTTAATATTGGGTGATTCTATTATTGTATTAGTGGTGATGGGAGGTTATAATGTAGCAGCCATTTTTTCATTGAGCATGTGAACAATAAAACAAAATGGAGTGGATTATATCTTCATGATTTCAGCATTATCAAATCACCAGCAATTAATGATCATCTAAAATTCAAAATAATTTTCACTATTTTTACTAAAAATAATTTATTATTCTCCCTCCCTCTCTTTCTCTCTCCCTCAGTTGATGATAACTGGTATCATGGTGTGTGTCAGGATAAAGTTGGTATATTTCCAAAGACTTACGTCAGAGAACCTTAACAACAACCAGCTGCTAACAACCAGCTCTACCTGCTCCTCTTCCTCTCTCTTCATGATCCTCTCTTGTAGTCATTAGCTGTTTATGAGTTAATCAATTGTTTTATTTGACATCATTTTATTTTATTCACTGACAATTATGGTATTATTTTATTTTCTTGCTGTTATTATTGTGATCTATTACAATTATCTATTCTATTATTCATTGTTGCATGTGAAGTGTATTGAATCTATTGATAATGAATTCCTGATGTGTGGGCGGGCACTTCTAGTAAAAACTAATTAACTATCAATGAATCTAATTAACTGATCACAAGATGTCCTTAGAGGACAAGTGTTGGGCTGCGTTTGAGAGAGGAGATCATAAAGAAGCTGTTCGGTTACTATCATTAGTGAAGGAACTGAATAAAATCAAAAGAATATATATAGTGACTAATTATACCAGTTTACTTCATTTGTCTTCAAGGAATGGCTGGTTAGATGTTACAAAAGATCTCATCACTAAATATCACTGTGACCCACACGAAAGAGATGATCTGGATTGGACTTGTCTTCATTATGCTGCACGAGATAATCATGTTGATGTGATGAGATATCTCATTGATGAGTGTCACTGTGATCCAATGGCTGTTGACAGGTTGTTGGGGTGGACACCTCTTCACCGTGCTGCTCATTGGGGTAGTTCTGCAGCTGCTGAATATTTACTATCAACTGGTAAATGTGATCCATTGGCTAAAGATAATGAGGGGAAAACACCATTTAAACTAGCTAAGAAGGAAGGGGAAACTGATACTCTTTCTGTCATGA